GGCTTAAGCAAGTAAGTTGGCTACTGTAATGCACAGCCTTTCCCAGAGTGCCAGGAAAGTAAAAATAAGACCAAGTTGCAGTTGCAAGCACATTTGTTAAATTTATTGAGCAACTGGGGAGAAGCAACTCTCCTCAAGAGTAAATGCTTTCCTGAGCTAGTAACCAATGCATAGTCATTTGCACATTAAAGTGCTACTAGTCAACAAAAGAAAGAACAGGTAGAGTGGCATTTAAATTTCAGCAGTCTTTTGATGGACAAAAATCAGTTACTATACAGGAGCAGCACAGTGGGAAGCACTCAACATATTTAGACAGGAGTGAAAAAAAATTACTGAAAACCAAGAACTTAGAGGGAAAAAGTAGGCATTTCTTACGTGATTTTAAAGAAATATTTGATCACATGATATTCCCCCTAGCTAACGGATCAATAGCAGTAAGGACAACAGAAACAGATTAGAAACTGAAGGTAGGGCATGTGCTATTCTTTAAAATCTGTCTAGCTGGATCAGAATTTGTATTTTTCTTAACATTTTTGACAGCCAGGAACTTATATTTTAATAAGTTTTATTTTTCAATATAATCTCTATGTGATAAATGAAATCACAAAGGAAAACATTCTGGTTGATATTTTCAGTACAATTAAGAATGATAAACACAGAAGCAAGGAAATTTCAACAGCAGTTGAACTTGAAATTTAAAAACCAGAAAGGCAATATGGGGAATCACAAACAGTATTAAAAAGGAGTAGACTTGAACTTTCGGTGTAGACCTGTAGATTAAGATCCACAAATCATCATTTTTAATATAACAAATCTTGCTTCAAGACTAAAAAAAATTAAACATATAAAATAAATGTTTAATATTTCCTAAAATGAATTTACTCACAATATGATATAACATTGTACGGTACTCACTTAATGTATTGGGTCTAGATCATGAGATTGACTTAAAAGTAGAAAACATTTGTAAAAAGTTCCAATTATTAATTACAGAAAAAAATGAGATAGGCTCCAATACTATTCTGATTACCCAGGAGTATCTGAATCTATGGTTTAAAGAGGTTGAAAGAAATCTGAGAGCTAAATTTGGGAGCACAGAAATAGAGTCCTAACATATTCCAGCAAGAGCTACTTAAATCCTGGTTTCTGTAGAAAGGAATGTTTACATGTTTGGGGACTCTTCCAGAAGGCATCATAGTGGCACAGCTTATGTGCAACTACTGGATGGGAAACATTGCTTTAGATATACAACTCTCAATCAAGGTGCAATTTGTGTCCTCAACTATAGCCTGTGGGCTTTTCTACAATAGACTTCTAGAACTTTCATTTGATAGTATTGATTGCTCACATTGACTAAACAGTTTGTCTGAAACCCTGGTACTGCATTTTCCAGCCTTGTGCAACCATGACTGAGTTACTTGGGCAGTCCTGACATCAGCTTTCCAAAGTGTAAAATGAAACAAATAATGGTATCTACCTCAAAAGAGTACTACAACAATAAATGAATAAATGGACAGGGCTTTGAACTGGGTCTGGCACATGGTTTGCAGTAAATGCGTGCTTTTATTATCTGTAGTGGACCATATTCATGCATTCATATTGGATGAAGTTGAGATACAGATCAATTCGTTAGCTCCAGTCATCATAATCTTTCAATTTTGAAAATTTTCCAATATCTTTCCTGCTTTAGGTCCTTGCATATGCCGTTCTTTCTGCCCAGAACATTTCTTTATCCATTTTTCACCTTGCTATTTTTTTTCTCAAAATTTGGGTCTTGGCTGCCTATTCCCTTGTGAATCCTGACCTGTCCTCTCATTTCTGATTTAAGGAAAACTCAGGAGCACCCTATAAAGAAGGCATCACACCATTTGCTTTCCTCTTATATTCTAATCACAAATTGTGTGTGTGTGCGTGTGTGCGTGCACATTCTCTTTATGAATGCTTGGCATTTTTTAATTCTTATAAAGGCAGAGAGAAGATATCTATTTTGTTCATTAAGTATAACTGTTAGCAAAATGTCTAGTATGTCATCATCATTCAATACATGAATATCAAATAAAAGAATGAATGGATAAAATGAAATGAAGGAAAGATTGAAATGCATGAGAAATAGAGCTGATCATGATTAGCTTGTGGATAACACTGAATTCCAGGATACCTCACCATTTTTTTAGAATACATCATAAAAATGTTGGACAAGAAGCATAAGTGAACTTCCCTTTATGTCTCCTTTACGTATTAGAGACTTTGGAAGAAAGGTCATTATTCATAACATAACCAGAATTTCCTCTGAGATTTTCCAAGAGAGAAAAAGACAAAATAACCATAACATTAATCAAAGAACATAACCTCTCCATAAAATATCAATAAAGCAGCAGTAAATTACAGTAAGCATAAGACTTACATAAAGTACATAATCTCTTCAACTCTATTCTCTTGATTCAGGAAACTCTGTGATCTGAATACTCAGAAACAGATATTTTTTTCAGCTGGGATATATAAAAATCAAGTGCCTCGTTTTATTCTTTTAGGAAATAAAATCTTTTAGAAATGGGTAGATTGTCATACTCTAAAATATAAATGATCTATTTATTAAAATATAAATTTAGTGACTATTTCATAGTTGATCTTACATCTTAGTTACACGAAGTAATGATCTGAAGAGTAGTTCTCAATCATGATTATTAATCCAAATTGCCCATAGAACTTTAAATAATGAAGATATTCAAAGGCCAAAGTCCAGAAACACTGCTTTAAATGGTATTAAGTATGTTTAGAGTAGCAGTACATTTATTAATTCTTTATGGTTGGCTCTGATATGAAGCTGAAATTAAATACCAGTTGTTTATAGATCAATGTAAAATTGTTTATGATAAAGAAAAATATCTGAATTCCTCTAATAAGAAAACACTGCGTAATTAAGCAAGATTGAGAAATTATATGGGTAATCTTAATCACCTGCTTTGTTTGCACTAAATGATTATGATAACCTGACAACTTGAAAAATATTTAAATATAGTCATTTGAAGGTTCTGTACTTCTTCTAATTCCCCATTTAATTAAATACCATTTATTTGATTTAATTTGACAAATATTTATTGAGACCTTGCTATGCCCAAGGCACTTCACTCTGACATTGAGAAATCAAAAAAGTATAAAATTAGACTATTAGCCTTGTGCAGCTTCGTGTCAAATGGAAACACAGACATGCACACATTTTTTTTTAATGAAGAAAAGAAACAATGCCTAGTAAGTGCCATGATGGAATATTATGCTACACAGACACCTCCGAATCCCCAACACACACACCTATATAGAGATGAGAGAATTTCATGGAGTGAGTAGCATTTGATATGGACTTGGAACAGTGGGTAGGATTTTTACAGGGAATATAAAGTATGGAGCATCTGGAGCAAAGAAAGTGATGTATTTGGGAGTTTGGCTGGATCTGGGAGAACACAGAAAGGAGGGCAGAGCCCGATTACTGAGGAATATAGGGGTCCTTCGAACAGCTCTGTGAGCACTGTAAAGGCATATAGAGTGTGAAACAGAAGGGTCAAATTCTGCTCCTCTAAGGCATGCTCAGTGATGTTTAGAAAAATAATGCACACATGAGATAAAGACTAGCATAATATTTTAATTATATGTAGAACTGACAAATACTATAATATGTCAGGAATTGAGAGAAACATTGCAGAGAATGGGAATAGAGTTTATGTAATTACGGCACTGGGCTAACTGGTTATTCCAATTCAATTAAAACGCAGGATTTCTGAAAGGGAAAAATGGGAAATGAAGATAGAAAGACGGGGAAGGACAGACTGTGCAAGAACGCGAACACCAATAATAAAATTCAGGGGCTGGTTAATAGTCAATATGGATTTTATAAAGATTTGTATAACAGGGAAGCAGGAAAATGATGGAATTAGATCTTTATGGTTGTTCTTGGTGTCCTGGTTCAAGCAGTTACCATCTGCCTGAACAAGCATTAGATGTTCTTTTTTTTTTATTAAATCATAGCTGTGTACATTAATACCGTCATGGGGTACAGTGTGCTGTTTTTATACACAATTTGAAATATTTTCACCTAACTGGTTAACATAGCCTTCATGGCATTTTCTTAGTTACTGTGTTAAGGCATTTATATTCTACATTTAGAAAGGTTCACATGTCCCCTTGTAAGATGAACCATAGGGCGTGATCCCACCAGCATTAGATTTTTGTAATAAGACTAGCATGCACTGAGGAAAGCTATAGGCAAAAGGGATAGTTACGTGGTTACCACAGTAAGTCTTAGCAGAAGACAATGAGATTCAGGACATGGTGGTAGATGGACTAGGGACAGAATATCTTAAAGTCCTATGAGAACATTTTGGCTGAAAAATAGGGGTGAGTTGGTGGGTATGGGAGATATCCTTGAATAGAAGATAGATAGAAAATTCAGCTAAAGAAAGACAGATATAGGGCAGCGCCTGTGGCACAAAGGAGTAGGGTGCCGGCCCCATATGCAGGAGGTGGTGGGTTCAAACCCAGCCCCGGCCAAAACTGCAAAAAATAAAAATAATTAAAAAAAAAAGCAGAAAAAAAAATGTCATACCCTCGAAACTTGTTTGCAAGAAATGAAAACAGAAGCAAAGTTCGTATTTGGCTCCTGACTTAACCATATCTATATAGCTGCACGTCTGTGCTATTTTCAAATCTTGCTATTGACGGTTGTTCAATAGTAACTAATCTTGTAAAAATGAAAAGATTTCCAGTAATATATGAAGCTGTATTATTAATCAACATAAACAGCCCAAACATTAATATAATTTACATCATTAAAGACTAACAAAACTGTGACTCAATTAACGATAACTCATCTGTTATACAGTAATTGCTAAATAACTATAAAACACATTACATTCTGTTGATTACTGTACCAATTATAATGCCCTTTTCTTTCCACTTCCACGTTTATCTACATTTATCTAAAATTAATGGAAAAACCAAATGCTTACCAAAATGGTGGTAACGATCAAAGAACGATTGGATAAGGAATCTGTGATGTTGGCTGGCTTTCCCTTTTGACTTTCTGTCATGTTGAGGCCACTGGCTGGATCCCAAGTTCCAATCTATAAAATAGCACACGCACTTTGTAAATTATCCATCAGACACCTGGGAGAGAGTACTGCAGAGAAAGTTAAGGCTGCTAACACTTATTATTCACCTCGGCTGCATTCTCGGCTGTCGTTAAAGCAGAGGCCGATTGTTTTAAGCATGATTCACTGCTCTGTGAAGTGTGTCCGGTGAAGTGTAACATTAAAGAACAAAATGACCCACTGCATTTCTCCAGTCGGTGTGGGAGCTTAATTTTCCATTCAAGCTTTCATTCACCAAGATAAACCACATTTGATAATACCTTGATAGCTGGCTAGAAACTCATTAATAGGGCATATCTTTTTCTATAATGGATCTATCTCATCCTTTCATTATAAAGATAACATGCCGTATTATATGAACAAAGCTAAAAGACAGAACAAAATCTGTAGACCCAGGATAAATTGATGGGTAAAGGAAGGCTGAAGGAAGGTATTGCCCAGTGGAGTAAAACGATACCCAGATTATCTTTGGAGGCATTAAAAAACACATCTTTGCACCTTTGAAAATACTCCCAGGAAAGGGGATGATGGCACAATCTCATCTAGATAATCATTCCAATATTTCCTTCTATATTCTCTTTAATATGAAATGTAACGTAGCTAACACCTGCTGATGGTTAGACCATATACATGCAGTGTTTAAACATTTTATACCATTGAACACAACCTATGAGATGCTGTAGACAGACCTCTGAAAGCCGTATATAAGCACAGGACGCCACAGAATGCATAGATGGGGTGATTTATTGGCTTCTACACCCTGGTACTATTTTATATGTGGGTAGCAATGGTCATCACTAAAGGAGAACAGAGGCAAAAGATGTGGACTCAGTAATTCTTTGCCTCACCCTCTTGAACCTGGGAGTCAATAATATGAAATTTGTCTTCCCTCAACCCCTAGTCAATTATATAATTTATTTTTCTCAGAGGAAAGGAAATTAATTAAAACCATTAATTTGCTTTTAAAACAAACCTTTGTATATAAATTAGATTATTTCTTAAAATTACTCTGATTTAGCAGGCATTATTCGTCTGGTCTGCGTAAACATGTCAACAAGGGTCTCACCTGCATAACCTTGTTTGTACAAGATCTTTTATTTTATGAATATTATATCCACTCTTTTAAACCCCCTTCTTCACTGACATGGCTTTCCCAAAAACCTCTGAAGACATTTATTTCTCTTTAATTGAAGAAATACAATAGAAATATTAGTAATTTATGTTGTGCATAAGAGTAAATATGTCATCCTACTAGTTACACTACATGTAAATGTGAACCCTCATGTGTTTTTTCAATAATGCGATTAACTAGATAATGGATTCATATTAATGTCTTTTTAAGCAAGACCTAAAAAAAAAAGTCTCTTGCCATATTTTTCAATATTGAGTTAAATTTTCTCCCTACCATTAAACTCGGTATATTCCCTGTGTTTGTAATAAAGGTAAAACTCAAATAACTCAGTGGGAGGAAAAAGCAGTTTGACTTAGCATTTGTTCAAAACTAAATTACATACTGGCCAATTACATTTCTTTATATTAACTATGATTACAAGATGTCATAAAGGCAGAGTTTAATTCTAATTCAGGTTCAATGATTAAAGGCTTGAGAGGCCAGGCAGATAATATCAAGGTACAGAGTGATGGGGAATAAGCTAGTAGGGAAGAATGGCCTTGCAAAGGTGTGTGATATTTAAATCTCACAAAATTCAAGGCAGAGTAGCAAATGGGGGCCACAACCCCAACCGAGGGAGGAGGTGCTTTGTTCAGGTGTCCAGAAAGGCAGCATGACTAGTAGAGTCCCTGCTGGGAGCCTGCATGAGGAGGAATGGAGAGGGTGGCACCAGCAGGTGCTGACCCCTGAAAGTGTTTCAAATTCAAAATCATTAAAAAAACACTCTCTAGGCTAAACAAGACACATCTGCAGATTGCATTTTGCAGTGACTATCACTTTGCTGTCCCTGGTCTATAATTAATACCTATCACACATTTCTTCCCGGAGATTTTATTTCTTTTCCTTTTTCTCCATTGGCTAAAGAATTAGGTCTCAGAGACATGTAATTCTACCAGCTAAAGCTTTCGCAAACATCATTTGCCCCGTCTACTTCATGACACCCTCATGCTTGATCAATAAACGTTTAACTGTTTAACTAATAGAAAATATTTCCCATTTTATTTACTGACACCTTTCACGACTACTATTATACAAAATAATTGAGCTAAATGTTCACTTATTCATTTTATCATTTAAACGTGGTTATCTCATTTCATCCAGTCACTTTCCTACTACTATTTGGAATTCTGACCCTAATACAAGTTATGTGAATCCATAATTTCCTATTATCACAAGTATTAGATATCCCCTTTTGTAAATCTCAGATTTCTTTGTATAATATTGTTTTAGAAATTTTATTGGCTTTAAAATTTTAAGCCAAATACAAGTTTGTGTATTTGTAAATGACAGGATTTTCTAGATCGTAGACTGTCTGATTCAAAACCTTCGTCCACTGAGGAGAGGTCACAACTATTTTTGTTGTCTTTCATTTTGTTTCATTTGTTTTTTAATGGAAAAAACCAGAGACTAAATGAGAATAATCTCTCTTGTTCTACTTTTGGAGAAATTATTTTATTGTATGATTTAATCAAGTATTTTTAAGTACTTTTTTTCAGTTGCAGAATGAAATTAAGATGTCTAAGCACCATTGAGCTTACAGAATTGTTTTATGCGCTGAGACTCTACACCTTTGTTTGCCTTGTCTTCATGGTGTAAATATCCATAATCCTCTCTTGTAAAAGCAAAAGAATAATAAATTGTAAGATCATTTTCATTATAAAGATTAAATTAGGTATGAAACATAAGTGTTCTTCAAGAACTATGGAAAATTCTAGCTTTGTTTATTTTTATTTTATTTCATGCTATCATTGGCTCTTAAATTTACTTCTCTACTCATAGAAAGAACGCATGCTTGTTGTCCCCAAACTATAAAATACGCACAAAGTATAACAAAGATGATCAACTTAAACTTTGAACCTATGCATATACCCAAAGTCAAGCATAGTTAACACCTCAATGTACTTCCTTTGAATCCTTTATCTTTCCCTATATTTTTCTCACATAGTTTCCATCATAGCTATAGTAACGGAAGGGGTAGTAGACTGCCTGGATCCTATTACATGTCACCACTTACCACTGGGTGGCTTGGGCACATTACCTCTCTCTGCCTCAATTTCCTGACTGTAAATAGGAAATATTATCCATGTTAAAGAGCTATTGTTGGGATTGGATGAAAAAGAATTCAATACTATGTGGTTATAAGTATGACAAGAACTAACTATATCCTGTTTATACATTACTATATTTTCTCCCTGCAATAAAAATTAGCCAAATCCTTAATTTTAATGGCTGTATAGAAGGAACATCATATGAACATATCATGATTCAACTACCATTGTTATAAGGTCTTAGTAAGCACATTTGTTTATAATATTTGCTTGTGCATTTTACTATTTTAAAAACAGACTTTGAGAATTAGAATTATTTTTAATTTTTTTTTATTTTTTCCCAGAGTCAGAAGGAGATAGAACTAGAATACTGACACAAATAATATGAGTTGTTAAGATTTTTACTACATATTTTCAAATAGCTTTCCAAAATTATTGTTCTATTTACCTGCTTCCTTGCTGTTCATGGTAGCTGCCTTAGGTATAAGATAACTGCCTAAAAATTTATCTTTTATTTTTAATAGTTTAAATCATATGATTAGATAATATTATAGAGGTTCATGACTATTATGTCTTTATTTCTACATAGCAGTTTTATTGATATAAAATAGCTATTTTTATTCCAATTTAATTCTTTTTTTTGAGACAGAGCCTCAAGCTATCCCCCTGAGTAAAGTGCCGTAGCATCACAGCTCGCAGAAACCTCCAACTCCTGGGTTCAAGCAAGTCTCCTGCCTCTGCCTCCTAAGTAGTTGGCACCACAGGCGCCCACCACAATGCCTGGCTATTTTTTGGTTGCAGCTGTCATTGTTGCTTGGCAGGCTCGGGCTGGATTTGAACCTGCCATCTTAAGGTGTTTGTGGCTGGCACCTTAGCCACTGAGCCACAGGTACAGAGCCCAATTTAATTCTTTAAACCTAAACTTTCAGTACATATTATTAACCACACTGGGATTCTGTTATTTATTTATTTGCATTTGCTGATATCATATCTACATTTTTACTTTCAACATATTTCTTATTTTATAAGTTTCTTTATAAGTGACTCATCGGTAAATTTTTTTCTTAATGTCCTAAGTGTTTTTCCTCCCTGAATCTTATATTTAATATTTCTCTTGTCATATTATTGGGTCTTCACTATTTCCTTTCTATTCCTGAGATTTTTGTAGTTTTTCCTGTGGTAATTTGGAAGATGAGGTACACTGGAGTCTACTGATGGGTACTGTCAACTTTTTCTGACTTGTACTATCCCATTCTAAAACCAATATTGAGTGATAAAAATTGAATGACATCTACTCCTTGACAATTCTCTATGCTTCCATCCATTTTGCTACCACACACACAGATTCACAGTGTTAGTTCACTGAAGATGGGGTTGTAATCACGGCCTCTCCATTTTGCTTCTTACATTATGGATCATCTCTCTTCAAGGAAATAATTGCAATTTTTGACATAATTTTCTAAACCATTTTCAAATCTATGTGCTTAACTGTAGCTGATGTCTACAATATCTAGCCACAGTTTGCTCTTTATTGAGCATTTGCTTTTCACTTATCATTGTTCATGTACAAGACTATTTATAAAGGATAACTATGTGACATACTTTTATCTGCTTGCAGATTTGGAGGTGTTTTTGTTGCTTTCTTATATAAAGAAATCTTAGTTAAATAAAGATGTACTGTGTCACCGTCATCTTCCTTCAGAGCTCTATCCCCACCTAATATTCATGTTACTGAGAAAGAATGAGAGCAGCTT